GCGTAGTAATATAGATGATTCTTCACACCTTAAGAGTACGGGCTGATTTCGTATCGAACTTCAGTGAATTAGCATAGTAAATGAAAATATCAATTTTAATTCGATCATTTTATTTCTTTGTTGAACACACTACCTCGAAATTTGCCTATTATTGATTACAGACCTATACTCCAGTTAAAATTGCTATAGTTATTACAGACTTATACTCAAGATAAAATTGCTATAGTTATTACAGACCAGTTAAAAAAATCCTTTAAAGATAGCAAATATTCCCGTCTTGGCATTTTCAAATTTGAGAAAATAAATTTTGTAAAACTTAAAAAATCTAACTTTTAATAAATTACTAACTATCTAACTTTTCTTCTTTTTATCTGCTGTCAATACATTCTTATCTAACTTTTAATACATCTTCATTCTTCATTTAAAATTCAGGACAATTCTGTACTCATTATAAAAAATAAAATGTAGGAAGTTTGACCCGTATACGACAAACATTAACCGAAATATTTAATTTCTGACGTTTTCAATTTGCATTGAGGAGTCAGTTAATAAATAAATATGATTAAGTTATTTGTTTTCCTTTTAAATGCCATGCACTGATCATTTTCGTGATTTACTACTGTCTTTAATTTATAATTTTGTTACATTTGGTATGCCGAAATAATTTTCTCAGTCATTTAATAAGTTTTCAAAGCTTAAATATGTTATTAATATTTTCATGGAGTTTTATTAATTTAGAATTATAATCCCGTAATTGCACATAAAACTCGTTAAAGTACAAATACTTTTCATTTTTAATTAGTGCAAATGATATTACGAGTCAACCACGTACCAATACTGAAACTTTTCATGTTTTCTATAACATGAACTTCATTTAAGAATCTGTGTTTAAGATCTCCATTTTGAATAATTTTATATTGATCAATATTTTTCCGATAATCTGCATCGAAATGCTGGTAACTTAATCTCTAAGAAAAAATGTTCTTGAGAAACCTTTTCCTAAAGTGATATTTTATTTTTAGTTATGTATAAATTCAAGAACATCGCTCTTCCGTATATGACCCCTTAATATGATCTCCGATTTTAATATGAAATATCTCTGTCAATTTTTCATACTGGAATCAAACGTTTTGTGTTTTATTTTTTATAACATGTATAATTTTTTTAAATTTAAATATAAGGACCAGAGAAAAGTTAAACTTCGTATTTTTCAGAAAATTGATTTCTTTAAATTTAAAAATGCCAGAATGTAAACCTTTGTGTCATATAAAACATTTTTGTATTCGGAAGTATATGTCTGAGACCAACGGTTGAGATTATAAAGGCTAAGTAAGGACATTCCTAGACACGACGAGTAAATCACACTATTCTGTGCCGGTAAATGGTCCTAAATATTACCGTCTGAATATTCTAGAAATAAAATCTGTTTTAAATTATATCAGTTCGATAGCTTTTTAAAATGCAATTAAAGTGACGTCACCGTCGTTGGTCCATGGCTTTATAAAAAAATGGCTGTTACAATACCCATGCGTTGATCACCTATGACACACGTGTTGACGGTTATCATCGATGCGGAAAGGTGATGTAAATTGACAGATGTTAATTAAAATACGAATTAAACTGAAGGATACAAAAATCATTAAGGCTGTTAGTCATCGGTGATTTCAATGGTGGATGTATAAAGTTATAGGTTCACCTCACCTGAATTTCTGGGGCTCCTTCACTTTAAGACACTGTGTACCTTTTTTATTTTTCATATTATTTTCTTTAAATCCGAAAAATGATTTGAAGGCCTATGGGAACGTGTTATCGCTCGCGACCGCTACTTGCGCAACCCCATAAATCCACCATTGGGATATACAGTTTGACGGTCACAGTTGAGGACACTACAGTAAATTGTCAAGAAATGCATTTATTGCTTTGAAACTTCTCTTTTTATTCAGCAGTTACAGACTAATTAAATTTGAAGAATAAAATAAAGACCTCGATTCTTTTTCGGAAACTGCAACAATCTTAGAACTTAGATTGTCTATCTTCGAGGCGCATGGAAAATAAAGATATTTCGCTCTATGGAAACACTTGTCAAATCCATAGATGATACAGTGTTTACCCATTTTAAGAACAATTTCGGTAAAGAATTTTTTTTAAAAAAAGAAGAGAAATACTCCTAGTCCATAATTCAAAAACGTTGTGAAAAGCATGATATTAAAATTTCTAAGAGCAAAATAAACCCCATCATCAGTCCTAAAGGAAAAACAGTCATTCATTACTTGTACATGGGAAGAAATCTCCAAACGAATACCCGAAAAAAAGGCCTGCCGTTTCTAACATTAAACCGTTGATAACAAAAGCAAATCCGCGCCGACGCTGAAATCAATTGGAAAGTCTTTAAATACATTAACAGCAACAATAAATAAAGTAATAAACCAAAATTTGCAACTTAATTAAGCTAAAAAACATAATGTTCACCAACTTTGGTAGAGGTATGTTACTTAACAATTTATAGAACACTGAGAGGAAATTATTTAGCAGGAGATAAATGGAAATACATTGTGAATTTTGAGACATAAAATTACCTAAATGACTGCAACAAAGAAATGCCTATTTACTATCGAAAACGAAGAGAAAAAAAAAATGTACTACAAGCCTGTTTCCGTCAATCCAAAGGAAGTGTCAGTGAGGGGCTTATGATCGCCGAGGGATTCTCTTACTAGGAGAAATTAAAAATAAGAAGAGCTGGAAAACAAAGGTGTTCAAATCCAAGTCAGAATACTATCAAGAGAAAGTTTTCAGGCTGATATTTACAGAAATTCCATTTCTTTATTACAATGATTTTCAAAGAGTGAACTTCATCATGGCAAAGCAACAAATCATACTTCGAAAAGTCCCACTGCATTCCTTGGAAACATGAAGACTGATACAGGTACTGCTTGTATACCTTTTCAACGTATTCCTGCGAAATCCTCAGACGTTTCACCTATGGACTGAAAAGAGCTTTTTCTAAGCGCAAACGCACCTCGGTTGATCAATAGAAATTTTGCGAAACCTCTTTTAATCCAGGAAAACGGCTCAGATCGAATATTAAAAAAAAAAATACTCTTAATATTTTAAACATTAATTAAACGGCCTCAGATCGCTCTAAAAAATGTGTAAATACCATGTGCATGGTAAAACTGGGGTCTAAACAAAGGATTATATTAATTGAATTATATTGTTAACCCATTACCTTTATAAATTTATTAAGTTTGCCTGACAGTTTTATTATTAAAGTTGTAGATGAATTTTATAAAGAAAATTATTTAGTCTTTTGTTCCATTAAACTAAACGATAAATTATTTTTATCATTTTAGTTCATTGAATATTTTATGAGTTTAAAATAAGATCTTAACCTTTTTTCCTTTTTCTATTTTTAATTCAGGAATAATATTGCTGCAGTTAAAATAGAAATGAAGGATTACTACATTTATTGTTTAACCGCTGCTATTATGTTGTACGCCGTATCAGACAGTAATTTTTCTTCTTTTAATTTTTATGAAAGGTTATAAGTATTCTTAATATGATAAAACTCATTGCGCATCTGAAGCACGTTTTATTGATAACAGGAGTGCTTGTCGGACGTATATCAGCGGTTAAAGTTTAAGAAACTACATTACATGTAAGCATAGACATTTATGATACATAATCGATATTTTCAATAAAGTGTTAAAAAAGATCTCACTTTGAATAATGATAGTTCAAGTTTTAGGATTAATATATTAGATTGGTAAGTGTATTAGATTTTACTAGGTTTTAAAATTCCTTCTTTTAGAGTATATTAGAGGAAAAGGTAAGCCTAAACATTAAGAAACGCGGTATCCCGTCATGGGAAAAAATTATGCTTGGATTTTAAGAATCAAGTTTCAAACGTAAAGTGACCAGACTTTAGTCAGGGAAAGATGTCAGTTTCGGCAATGACTAAAAATATACTTTGTTTCAAGCATAACTTTTGTTGTTATGTTTAAAAATCAATACTTTAAGTTGCTTTTTCTCCCCCACTTGTCTACATGTTACGTGTTACAGTAAAATGACCCAAACAAAGGCCACGGTTCCAAACGATTTCGGTTTCTGCGAAGATGAGCGTGATACTAATGATATTCAATACCAGTATTTATATATTTTCTCAGAAATGCTATTCACTTTTACAGGCAGCCGCCATGAGAGGTTTCATTATATTTACTATCGAAATATGCACAGTATTGATGTATGCTCTGCACAAAAATAAAAGGAACAGTTCTATATCTCCCGCTCTACTGGCCCGATTTAGTATTTGTTCGGCGTGTTATTGTGTCTTAATTAAAGCATAATGGTCTTTAGCTTTCAAATTCAGTCAGTTTGTTTTCATGTAACAAACTGAACAAATTAAAAGCTGAAAATATACTTTCACAAAAGAATACGCGAAATGGATTCAATGCTTAAGAAACCAACAGTTAGCAACCGCAATCGGCAAAAATAAACTTTCAGAGACGTTGTTTAGCTTTACGCTAGTACTCGTGGCTAGCTGTGTTTCTTTAGCGAAAATACATTTCTTCATAATTTAAATCATTACTAGATCATTTTTAACAATATATATAACTGAATTAATTTAAAATATATTTAATTTATAACATATGTGATTGGTAATTTTTTGGAACACTGGAAGCATGATTATAACTAGAGAAAGGTATTTTTAATTCTATATATTTTGCAAGTGCGTTTTGCAGTTACGTATATTTAACTTTAAACTTAGGTGCTTTAAACTTAGGAAACTTGCATACATTTTACAGAAATTAATTACAACTCACACAAAAATCGTAATTAGTCCGCTTTATACCCAGCTCTAATATCCCCATTCACATGCGAAATTTTCAAGTACCTTCTAGTCACATTTTTGTGTATCGCTTACGGGTTCATGTACCATCTAAACTGAAAACAGCTTTTAAAACAATTCGCAGATCATTAGAGAAAAATACGAATTTACTAACCAGCTGCACAAGCTTGAGTATTCCAGGAACAGTTTTGAAATACCACGGATTTAACTCCAAATTGTCAGCGATTCCTGTAGATTCGGTTTTTGTACTCACTTTTACGCCACCGGAGTACGAAGATTCTGTTTTGTGCGTATTAGTTGTCTGGACACTCGTTTCCGACGGAGCCATGACGATCAAGTTTCAAAAAAAGCACTGTACGAGAATTCTTCCAACGATGACAACAAAACAACAGTTCGCGGTTTAAAGGGACAACTGAGAGAAGTTCAGGTGTTCCGCGCTTTCGGCCGAAGAAAACCTGTTCCGTTGTGCATAGATGGATAGATGTGTGAGCTGTACTACGATGGATGTGCGTATGTGTGTATGTATGCGTTCGCACCTCGGAGCGAATGCTATTCGACGGCCCGTGGCCATGAATACGGAGATGCGCATACAGCTTGCTGGAATGTAATTTGCGGCGGAACAGTTGTGGGATTTGTTGCGCGTCTACCTACTTTTAGCGTAGGTTTACCAGCGATCGTTTCGGGGGCGATTCGAACGTGGGAGGTTCCAGTTACATTTCAATAAGCCTTCCTCAAATTTTACACCGAGGCGTAGCTTTCAACTTCTAGAATACGTCTACATAAATAGCATACAAAAAAAAAAAAAAAAAAGAAAAGAAAAGAAATTGTCAGTATTTATAACCCAAACGATTTTGTACAGAGGTGCGTAATATATGGTGTTCAAAAACATCTTTTGTTAATTATAATAATTCTGCAATTAAAAAATATATTTTTAATTACAGCAAATTTTAATCTCTCTCTCTCTCTTTTTTTTTTTTTTTTTTACCTAAAGGGGCAATTTTCCCAAAAGGACTATTAATTTCGGTTTGGCATTTTGCGTTGTTTCACTTCTCAAATTGTTGCCACTTAATATTAGAGCCTTGTATTATATTTAAAGAAATTAAATAATGAAGAATCTACATAAATGTATGCATGTTTCTCGCATTGTGATTAAACAACATACGTCTCCACCCGAATATAGGCATCTGGAAACCCAAATTCTGGGCATCTGGAACACGGAAAAAAAAATTATCTGTAGCGCGCGAGACTGCGTATCGGAAGTTCTAAAGAATATGCTCTTTTAAATATTTTGTGATATTGCTGTTGAATTGAATTTTATGGTTTAAGTACGAGGAAAATGATATTTAATAAATAAAGGTGACACACAAAAGGTTAAAAAAACGCCCGTTTGGATGTCATATATAATCTGAAAGATTACAGATTTTTTTTTTTTTTTTTTTTAATCAATGGCTCTATGAATAAGACTGTTCAACAACAGAATTCGCGCTGGGTTTAAGTCCTGAAGGAAGGGGTAGCTGCAGTACGTTTTCGTGGTTATTCGTTTGTATGATGAGTATGAGACGATTTTCTGTAGAAAGTCCTCTGAGGAGGTATTATAACATATGCACACCTCTGACATACAGGTCCTTAATGAGAAGAACGTCCTGTTTTGTTCAGAGACTAATCGTCAGTTAGAACTTTGAGGAAAGGTGTTGCGGAAATCCCCTGGTGCACCTAGAATAAAGTTATAAATTATGAAACAACTGTTTTGCTTCAATTAGAAGCAAAATTGCAGAATGCATACGTAAAACAAATCACAGTTTTACTTAAATACGTGTTTAAGACAATAGCAAGCGTTCAGTTACTTGTAAGGATAACTAAATGAGCTGTAAAATCGAAACAGTACAAATAACTTTGTATTTAATACATCTAGAATAATGATTTAGATCATGATATCAGTAGTTTGGGTATCATATCAGATTTCAGCTTATCGAGAAAGAAAATAATTTCAGCTTTCTTTGAAGATACAAATTACCTCATTAATTTGTTATTATTATTATTATTATTATTATTTAAATCTTAGTAAAATCTACAGATTAAAGTGACTAAGAACGGCTCAAAAATTGCATTTAAAGATTTACAACAGAAGCGAATTCTTTTTTCTTCGATATAAGAATAAATATCAGTTCAAACTTTCATGAGTAGATGGCACTGTTCGTATCACCTTATAAAAGCGAAGTTAGGAAAATTTGAATTATGCAACATTTATTCTTTTCATATTTCAATATTACTAAAAACACAACCAATCCATCATAAACTTTTATTCACATATCTTCTTTTAAAGCAGTGATGGGCGAACTTCTTAAGGAACGGTCCAAACACCAAAAAATAAATAAATAAATAAATAAATAAATAGAGAGCCAATATAGTTTCTAAAACTTTAAAAAGAATATTCAAATATTGCAATACAGATATTAATGTGATGAATGAAACTGTAGCTTTAAAGGTTCCTTAAATTCAGATTGAAATTGTAATACATTAATTCTGAGAAGTGATGCTAAATGCTCATTTGTAGTCTATTTCTAACAGAATTCTTCCTAAAGTTCATGCTAGAAAACACTTGTTACTTTATACGATGAACCAAACATAGCACTAATTTCTGGGCGTGAGGTATTAAGTTTGGGAAACTTACATTCGATAACGATTTGTAAAACTCTAATTTTGGAACACTGAGAAACAACTGCTTGAGACGACTGCTAGATTGTAACTCAGTTAATTCAACTTGCAAATACAGCCTCATTGCTTGATAATTTAGGTGCTTAAAACGTGCTGTGTACATATGTCAATAAAAAGAGATAACACGCCGAACGAAATGTAAAAAGAGATAACAGAACTCTGCGTTTTCAAGGGCTGATGATTTGGCCTCCCTTTCTATTTTGACACGAGCTCTATACTATATTAAGTATTTATATCAATATCGTAATTATATAATGCATTTTTAAAATATATGTCAGACCGCAGCTGGCCGGCAGGCCACAGTTTGCCTATACCTCTAATAAAGAATTGCACATATTTTCACGATATTAACTGAACAACATCATCTATAGGGAAAGGTTTCAGCCAAACATTGTTACTAAGCCTGCATGTTTAAGTCTTTAGGTGTCAACCACATGGATGCAGAAATTATGGGGTTATAAGTGATATCTCAACCGTTCGGCAATAAGTCTTTCTAGAACTTTTCCTATGGCGGGCAGCAAATTTATTGGTCGAATGCAGAAAGATCTTCGGGGCTCCTATCCTTCTTCTAGAAAAGTATAATTTGTCCTTTCTTCATGTTATCGGGAAAGGTCGACAATTCTAAGCATTTATTGAAGAAATTAAGAAGGATTCTTGAGTCATAATTGTACATAATGTTTAGAATTTTGTTGTTTATAGAATCGGAGCCAGGAGCTTTCTTATTGTTGAGGTGCTTGATAATATTATTAATTTCTTGCAGAGTGAAGGCGAACCTCTTCTGAGCCATTCTGTGAGAAATTGGAAAGTCTAATCTCTCTCTGCTCGGGTGTGTCATTTTCTGAATTGTCATCCATGAAGATAGAGTCAAGGATTTTGGTTGCTGCTTCTTGCGATAGAATCTGGGAATCAGGAATACGATTGCTGTTGCTTGCGTGGTCTTTGTTAAGAAGCGTAATTTTTGTGGGAACGAAGAATTTCTTAGTTGCCAATTTATGGAGAATGCCATACGTATCTTTATTTTGAGAACAAAATTTTTTCCCACGAGGTTAATTTAGCTTCCATAATTTTCTTTTTGTAAATCCTTCTTTGCTCGTTGTATCTCACGCATGCAGCCTTCCTAGAATTGTCGTCCAGTGTAGACTTTATTTTCCTCCTTAAGACTTTAGTTTTGTTCCTCTCTGCCCTCAACTCTTTTGTCCACCAATATGCAGTGAATTTATTTCTTGGGAGCTCTAATTTTAAAGCTCTGTTGGGATATTCTTTGTATGATTGATAAAAAGTTACTGGAGATTTCATTTAATTGGTTGTGATCCCTGCAGTAGTTTATGCCATTCAAAATGGAAGTTTATTCTTTAGCAAGGAGGTTTTTAAATTTCTTGATGCCAGACTCAATTATGTGAAAACGCTTCGTGCTGGTACTAGAAAATGTGAGATCAATCTTAAAGTGAATGAACTTATGATCCGAATTATTTTCCTCGTCCAGTATCTATCGTCTAGTATTTCCTCGTTCAGCCCGTATATACTAACTAACTAGAGGACTGCACCCCCATGGGCACATCACTGCCAAGTTTTGGGTCTTTGTTGGATACTATTAAAAGGCTGCATTTTTCATAATAAGACAATAGTTAGATAAGGTTACATTTCATTTGCGAGCTCATGATACTTGTGCACAGAAATATAATTTGACAGGGTACTGGGAATTGGTTATGTAAATAAGCATATTATTAAATTAAATCCATAATTTGAAATGCTAACAGAGTACGAAATACAATATCAGAATACAAAAATACAAAGTACAAAATACAAAAAGCAGTGTGCATTGAGAGAATTACATATTTATGGAGATTGGTGCTTTGGTATTGTACATGTTTATGCATATGTAGTCTAGGGTTCAAAGTTCAGTTCATTGAATTGTGTGCACTAGTAGTTCAAAGGTCAAGATCATGTCTAGTTCGTTGGGACATGTACACTTTTGTTTTGTGGTTTGATTTATGGATTCACATTCGGTTCATTCGTATTTTAGATGTGTATTGCAGAAACTGAAGGCACTCCCTTGGATGAATGACTTCATTCTTTTTACTTAGCTGGCGATGTCTCTGTAGTCTTGAAGACAGTAGTTTCACTTTTATGGCTGGCATAAGTCAAGTCCGTACTGATGGAGCTTGTCGATAATTGCCTTAATATTGCTGTGGAAGTTGTGATGCTTAATTAGGAATCTTTTAAATTCAATTTCGATGTTGGTAGGATGCTTGATATGATGGCTGTAAGTCAGCGGACAATGAAACAGGTAATGATCTGCATCACCCCTTTCACCACAGACACACATGTCCGTTGTTGACAGATTTCTCTCGTAGAAGTATGTGGGGAAGGAGCCGTGTCCTGTGATGTAACGGGTCAGAAAGTAGGGAGTGATGGTGTCTACTTTTTGAAGGAAGCTATACGTTCTTCGTCCTTGCGGACCGTCTCGCCATTGGTCCTGCCATTTTTCTAGTGTCAGCTGTTTAATCTTGTATTTGAGGTCCGACTGTGGCCATGTAATTTGAATGCTGTCGCAGATGAATTATGAGAAAATTGCATAAACGACCACGTCTAAAAGCGGTCATAGCAATGACATTTCAGCGACGTCGTCAAATTGCCAAGATGCAACGGCAAATATTTGCGTCGTCGCAACGTTGTAAAGACGTCGTAAAAGTTACCCCGACCACTTTGCAACCTCTCGGACCAGTTTGCAACGTCTTTGCAACGTCGTGTGCTACTTGGGATG